TTTTTAATATTTATGTATTTAAATTAATTTATTATTATTTAGGATTTTATTACTATTTAATGTATGTAATGTGTAAATGTGTGTTTGTGAGATTTCACACTCCGAATTTACAATTGATGAAATGTTGCCGTCGTTTAGAGGAAAATGTGGGTTTCGGCAAAACATTCCCTCAAAACCAAGCAAATATGGGATAAACGTATTTGCAATATGTGATTCTAAACGTTTTTACACAAGCAAGGTGGAAATTATATGGAGCAAAAACCAGACGGCCCATATAAGGTCTCAAATAGGTCTGAAAGATGTCGTCCTTAGAATAACAAATCATATTGCAACGAGTGGTGCTCATTAAATACCAGTAAATGCAAGACCATCCAGTTCACTAGAGCGTTAACCCCTTCTCTAAATCAATACAAAATCGGTAATACTACACTGCAAAATGTCACATCTGTGAATGATCTAGGGGTGATATTTGATATGGAACTGTCCTTTTGAGAACATATTGATTCCATTATCTGTAAAGCTTTCCGAATGCTAGGCTTTATTAAAAGAAATACTCAACATATGTATGATACTAAAGCAATCTTAACATTATTTAACAGCCTTGTTAAAAGCATTCTTGAATATTGCTCTGTCGTATGGCATCCTAATTACACCTGCCACATAGAGAGGATAGAACGAGTTCAGCGTAAATTCACTAACTATTTGCTGTTTAAACACCACTTTCCCTACCAAAACGCTGGTTACGAAAGTAGACTGCTTTTATGTGGTATGCAAAGCCTAGAAATCAGAAGAAGACATGCACTAGTTCTGTCTCTATTTAAATTAATTAACGGTAAGATTGACTGTAGCGCCCTTTTACAATTAATTAGCTTTTTGGCACCTACTCGACGTACACGTCATACTTCATTGTTTTTCATCAGAAGACATAGAACTAACTATGGACAAAGAGCATTTATTGACAGCCGTATGTGCCACATTTACAATAAGCTTTACTCCGACTGTGACCTATTTACCACAACGTTGTATGCGCTAAAGAGTAATTTGAAACTTTCAAAATAATTTTTTTTTTTGAGTTTTAATATTTAAACCTATTTCTATGTATGTGATTTTGTGAATGTGATATTTTTGTGTAGGTATTCTACATACATGTATTTATTGTTAATTTTTTTTAACTCTGTGTACCATTTAGAATAATAATTCTGTAGTGTACCTATTTGAATAAATAAATATTTCGGGAACTGGAAGGAACATCACAATGGACAATTGGTTTACTTCCGTCCCTTGTTGAAAAATTGTGTATCGAGCATAAATTAACAACAATAGGACCCAAAAAAGGCGCATAACGCGGTCTGGATGTTCTAGTATGTTTGGTTTTAGAAACAACTGTACTTTCGTATCCTATAAATAAAATAAAAAGAAAACATACTTGTAGTCTCGAGTATGCACTATAAAGATGATATCGACCAAGAAACTGGAGAGCAGTATAAACCTCATCGTTATTGATTACAACAGTACTAAAGGATACTAAAGTCGATACAGTGGATAAACTCTGAGTCAGTTATAGTTGTGCCCGTAATACTAGAAGATGGTGGATGACCTTATTTTATCTCGTGCTAAATGTGGGTGGGATAAATTTCAAGATTGTTTACGATGATACCAATTTATTGAGAAGATTTTTTTTACGAAAATTGGCTTATGAATTGGTTTCTCCCTTGATAAGATAACTTGCTGCCATGATCAACCTTCCAAGGATATTGATGCTAAGATTACAAGAAACATGCCAAATTCAAAATGATGTTGTACCTGTTGCAGAGGTTAAAAGAAGTGGAAGATGTGCATACTGTTATTGGAAGAAAAACCGGCTAAAAAGATTTTCCTTTTTTATGTGCAACAAATTTATGCGCCAATATGCCGCGACTGTCAAGAAAACATGGCTCAACGAGATTAAAAAGTGATAAAACCTCTTTTTAGACTAAAATAGTTATTATATTTTATCCTTGTAGTCTCAAATTTAGTTGCTAAAAACCAATGACCATGTATTTCGCTTTTTTTTTAATAAAAAATGACCAAATAACGTTATTTTGGTAATAAAATTACTTCTATCGTCTATTATTAACAGATGTTGTACTAAAAGTTATTTGAATTAATCCGTGATATCTCCTTTTTAAAAAATGAAGTCCCGGTGTCACTCACCGGGGTGACTACTAAATTCCAAATATTTAGGGTGACTACTGGAAGGTTAAGCAATTTCGAAAAGTTCAGAACACCATTTCCAGCTCTAATAAATATAAAAAAAATGATACACATTGTCGAAAAACGTGATTTTATTGATTCAAACACGATAAACAGCCCATTTCGTCGCTTTTTAAATATATTTTGATCGGTAGAAGACGCCAAGGAAACGCAAAACGTTAAAATGCCAGTTCATTTAGTTGAAAAACGACAAAGTATCGTTTGACGTATTCGAAAAGACCAATAAGCCATTTTGAGCTGTGATGAATATAAAAATTCGTCACATACTGTCGAAAAACATGATTTTAAAAATTCAAACATGATAAACATACATTTCGAATGGTAAAAGATGTCATAAAGACAAAAAAAAATGCCAGTTAATTCATTTGAAAAATGACAAATCTTATGTATTTGAAAATATGAAATGTCTATTTCGAACTGTGATAAATAAAACAATCGGTAGTAAAGTATTTTACCCAGAACTTCCCTCGATATAGAAATTGTAAAAACAGGGAACTCCTAAGCACTTAAATTTTAATAATTTAAAATTAAAACCACACAACCAAAAACCCTTTTTCACATTTCTTTCTACATCGATTTTCTTCTTGATCTCACCCGAATTCTCACTTCGCGTCCACTCGGTATTCTTCGCCAGGATCACCGTATTGCACAATAATGGGTGCGTTCACCAGACGGCAACAGTTGAGTAGTTGAGTAAGCGATCGCGTTCGGCAGGCACGTTGACTTTACGCTGAATGTCATCTGCTGCAAATTTCACTCAGCCCGATGAATTTGCACTGAGACGACTCAACATATGCTTGCTTAGATATGCGCAGTGAGATGACAGTTCATTGTTGCGCGTGCTTTCTTGATTTTTAAAACGTACATATTATGGAAACTAATACAGAAAATTTGTCAGCCTAAGTTTGGTGTTTTCTGACGAGAATCAGCATCAGCCAATAATTGCAAACAATATAAGGTTATGTTCAACAGTCGAATGTGTCAGACAGGACTCAACGGAGCGTTCAGCCAATTTCAATCTGCTGCCGGATGTTAATGCCCAGCCGTTTAGCGCTTAAAGTTAACTGCTGACGTCTGGTGAACGTACCCAATGATTGTCTGTTTTTAAAATGGTCAAGTTACATAAACCAAAAGGACAATTTTTATTATTTCCATTCAAGGGGGCCCTTTTGTAATTAAATACGAGCATTTTCAGCGCCATTTTGAATTATTGCCTTCTAAAATTCTAAGATACCAATTTTAGTCGAAATCTGCCGACTTTTAAAAATAATTTTTATTTTAAAGACTGCTTACCCTGTATGTAACTGATCAGAAGTACAACTGGTTTTGAGCCAGAAAGGAACCTTATCGGTATTCAAAATTTGAAGTTTTTCGATAAAGCCGTTTTTGAGCTATCGCGCCGACAGATAGACGGGAATAGGGAAACATGTTTTTCATAATCTAGGAACCCTAAAACGTGAAAATCTCAATGAATCTAGGAAGGTGACTTTTTCACGATTACAATACTTCCCTTTTATAGAGGGAAGTAAACACGTTACATACTGTCGAAAAACGTTATTTTAATAAGTCAAAAACGATAAAATCGAAAATTCTGACGTTTTTCGTATGCATTTAAATCAGAAAATGTCAAGACGAAAAGCGTTAAAATAACGGTTTAATAATTTGAAAGTCGGCAAATTATTGTTTGACGTAATAGAAAAGAATCAAAACGTTATGTTAAGCAGTGATAAATATTAAAAAATAGCAGTATACCGACGTCTAAATGCATTTCAAAAATATAATTCTGCCACTATTATAAAATGCTATTTATAACTGAAAACCCTAAAACGTTGTTTAAGGTATTCAAAAAACGATACAAATGTGAAAGTTGTCATTATTCACATAGTAGAAACCACCAAGCAGACGAAAAACATTAAAATGTCAGTTTCCTAATTTGAAAAGCAAGAAGTTATATGGTTTGGTGTATTCAAAAAGGTCGATATGTGGTATATATCTCAAAAATCGCCGCATACTGTCGAAAAACGTTAAAATTCAAATTCGCAAAATTAAACAAATTAAAAAATTACTTTTAAAAAACCGATAAAAACGTATAAAATTCAATTTGTTGGTGTATGTTGAATGCACGAGACACGGCAGTCGATAGGAAGACATATGAGTACACTTCCATCGATTTTTCCCCAAAGCTTAGTAATTCCCAAAAAAAAAATTGTCATTAAATGGCAACGTCGCTTCTCAAGTGCACCGTTTAGATCGATAAGCCCCTTACACATATAACAGCGACGATACTTCCTGTTAGGCGGAGACTATTTGCCGGATCTGCTCTTCAAATTTCCCAGTTCTAGGGAAAAATTTATGAAATTGTACTCAAGTGTCTCCCTATTTACTAATGACGTAAGTGAAAATTAAGGGTTTTGGATGTCCTAATTGATCTAATTTAAACTTCTATTACATATTTGTAAAAATAGATTATAAATCAGTTTAAAAATGGACGTTAACACACAAATAATTCCATGCAAAAGGATGAGACAGACAGATTCGACATTTTTTTTCGGAAATAAAAAGTGAATCATTCCGTCATATTTCATTATTAAAATTGTATTTTATCATATCTTATTGTATTTAAACCGAATTAAATAAATAAATAAAATTAGAAATCAAATTTCATAAAAAGGTGTACAAAAATCAATAGAAAAATACTAAACAATGAGGTAAAATCGATAATAAGACAATTGTAATTTAGTACTCACGTGCTATCGCCCTTAACCTAGGAATAGCCGGTGACCCGGGCGGACTATTGGGCGAAATAATGCCGCTAATACCTTTATGGTCTACGGTATGTTGTACTGTAATCGTATGTCGAAAATCCGAAGGAAAACTAATATTCGTACCGGGTTCCTTCTTCAATATTTTCAATCTCGATCGTTTAAATTTTCCTGCAAAAAATACATAAATAATTTTAAATCAGTATTCGCTATTTTTGTATTTTCTTTTAGCTAATAATCTGGTAATTTAAGTCAAGAACTTTTTGATTGTGGAATCAGTATCCCCAACTGGTGTAACCTGATCCCTTTTGACACTACCTAAATATTGTAGAGTAAACCAGTGTTATCCGAGTTTAAGGCGTCACAAGTACAATTTTCTCGGAAGCAAATTAGAAATAATTAGACGTAATTTTCCAGTACTACCATGTAATTACTTTTTTAAGACAATTAGATGAAATTACCTTGTAATGAGATATCATTGCACCCAATTATATGTAATTAGATGTAAATGTGTATTAATTAAATGTAATTACCGCGTAAAATTGAGTTAGACATCATAACTGACAATTAAATGTAATTAATTTGCAAGTTGAAATAATGTAATAGTCGCATTTAGACATAGTTATATGTAATACGTAATTATCAATGCAATTACATAGTAAGGCATAATTAGATGTAATTAGAGAATTGGGTGTAATTAGACAAATTAATCATATTTATATGTAATTAATAATTAGATCTTGGAGACATAAACTTAAAAATATATTAAGACTAAATTTTGTGATTAAAAATAACTGGGTACTTCGTAATTAGACATATGTATGTAATGAATGTAATTATTTCACAATTAGACAAAACTAGACGTACAAATCTAATGAAAGTAATTTTCTAATTAGATGGAATTAGCTTGTAATTAAATATAATTACTACATAATTGTACGTAAATATCTACTAATTAGATTTAATATTTCACAATTAGATAAAATAAGATGTACAAATCTAATTATATAGAATTACTTGGTAATTAAATATAATTACTTTGTAAGTACACATAAATATTTTCTAATAGATGTAATACCTCGCAATTATATAAAATGAGACGAAAAAATCTAATTAAACATATTAATTTAATTAGATGGAATTACATTGTGATTAAATATAATTATTTCGTAATTTAACGTTATTATCTCCTAATTAGATATAATTATATCGCAATTAGACTAAATTAGATGTACAAATCTAACATTTAGACATAATTTTCTAATTATATGTAATTATCTTGTAAATAAACATAATTATATCGTAATTAGATGTAAATATCTCCTAATTATGTAATTATCTCGCAATTAGACAAAAGTAGACGTAAAAATCTAATAATTAGACGTATATTTCTAATTATAGAATTATCTTCTTTTTTTTTTAATTTGGTGTCATCGGCGTCGACTACTACGGCCATTAGCCTCGTGTTCTGTGTAGGCTTTGTTAGTTTCCCAGCGCCACTTTAGGAACAGCACTGTTAATTAGAACCCAACAGTGAATGGTCGAGTGGGGAATCCTACCAAGGCATCAGAATTAATTTTAAATAATTAAATTAAATGAAAAAATCCCGGCCAACGGTGGGATTCGATCCTGAGACCTTCCGATCTCAAAGTCATGACTCTAACCGCTGAGCCAACCCACCCCTCATCCATCTTCTAAATAGATGTAATTTTCTAATTAGACAGAATTACCTTGTAAATAAATATAATTACTTCATAAATACACATATCTTCTAATAGATGTAGGATGTAGTACCTCACAATTATATAAAATAGGACGTAAAAATCTAATTAGATGTATTATTTTAATTAGATAGAATTGCCTTGTAATTAAATATAATTACTTGGTAATTCGATGTTAATGTCTACCAGTTAGATGTAATTATCTCGCAAAATATTTAATTACCTTGTAATTAAACATAATTATTTCATAACTAGAAGTAAATATATTCTAATTAGATGTAATATCTTGAAATTAAGACAGAATAAGCCCTAAAATCTAATCAGACACAATTTTATAATTACATGGACTTACCTTGTGATTAAATACAATTACTTCGTAATTATACGTAAACATCGCCTAATTAAATGTAATTACCTCGCAATTAGACAAAATTAGATGTAAAAAATATAATAATTGAGCATATTTTTTTAATTGAATGTAACCAACTTATAATTAAGCATAATTATTTCCAAATTAGACGTAAATACCTCCTAATTAGATGTAATATCTCAAAATTAAACAAAATAAGACATAAAAATTATATTATGACTAATTTTATAATTAGATGGAATTATATTGTAATTAAATACACTTACTTCATGATCAGATTTAAATATATCCTAATTAAATGTAAATTTTCTCACAATTAGACGTAAACATCTAATAATTAGGCGTAATAAGTAGATGGTATTACCTTGTAATTAAACATAATTAGATATAATTAATTCCCAATTAGACAAAATTAAAAATTAGCTGTACAAATTTAATTATTAGACAATTATATTGAAGTACCTTGTAATTAAACATAATTAAATGTAACTGTACTTCGCAATTAGGCTTATTTAGATGGTATTATCTCAGTTGCTTACCTTTCCTTTTGATAGGCGTAGGAGTTTGTTGTTTAATCATAAAGTGTAGTTCTCGTTCAAGTAAATCGATTTCTCTGGCATGCAACTCCTGTTCCTTCTGTCTAAGTTGTTCTTCGTGCATTCGTTGTTGTAATTGTGCTCTGTTCAGATCCTCTTCTCTGCATCGCAATTCCTACGATTCAAAAACAAATATATATGTACATAAACCAAAAAATATTTCAAAATATATATAAATTAATAATTGTTTACCTCTTCATAAGATTTACAAGCCTGACGATGAGAAGGCATTAAAGGAATAGAAAAAGAAACGTATATGAGAACAGTATCTAATGGCGTTTTTGTGTCTTGGTTATTTTTCAAAAACTTACCTTTTCTTTTCTGCGCAATTCCAAGAGGACTTCCTCGATCTCTTGTCGCCAGTCGTCTTGCATGATGTGAAAACTCTCGTGCGGCGTTTGCGTAAATGAAGAGTGTACTATATTATCCAAATCATCTAGTATGTGTTCGAACGAAGGTCTCCTGTGAGGGTCGGATTCCCAACATTCTGTCAACAGAAGAAAATGGGTCTCAGATTGAGCCAATTTATTAATTTACCGATGAATAAGATCTTCTTGATCCGGTACTACTTTTTCGAATATTAAAAAAAAATTGATTTTAACCCTTTGCGGCCCAATTTTTACTTTAAAAACAAAACGAGATTTATACAAAATAAATTTATTGTACATTTTTAAAACAATTTAAAACGAAATAAACTATCCTGGTCCTGCAGTAAGTCCTGCAGGATGTGGAATTCTCAAGATACCAGTGGAAACATAAACTAATTAAAAATGAAATATTCTGCAATAAAGACTAGATCTTCTTATTTTTTTTGCATCGAACATTTTAAAACAATTCTTGTCAAGTTTGAGACAAAGCCGGACGTTGCAAGATGAACATTTCCACTGTGTTCTGCTAACATTTGCAGTTGTACTGCACTGAGCCATCTCAAAGAAGTAGTTTTCTGAGGCATATGAGATGATTTTTAAATTTACTCACTGTTTTTCTATCAATGGTCTTCCTCTTTTTACATGTCCTGGAGATCATCATTTTAGCTAGATATATTTTAATATAGGCAACCAATTTAATCCTGAGAAACCGGTGGGAAGTTTAAAAGAGGAATTTAAAAAGGTGATCTTCCCAGAATACCAACAGTCTTTAAAGGGTTAAGAAGTAGGTAGTTCAAATGTATCTTAATTTTCATCATTTTTTTTAATAGTCAAAAAATGTATAAACAACCATAATTATGACTTACTTTCCATGAGCTCCCTCCATGGTTGAGGACACGTACTAGGTATTGGCAACGTCAACTTATTAACCGCCACTCCATAGGCCACTGCTAACGTATCAATTCCTTTGTAAGGCGTTTCACCAGTCAACAACTCCCACAGAAGCACCCCGTAACTCCATACATCGCTCGCTTTTGAGAACGTTGAGTTTTTGATAACCTCTGGAGCCATCCAAGCGTAAGTTCCAGCCTGCGACATCCTGGTGGTCTTGTACACCTCCCTGGCTAAGCCGAAATCCGTAATTTTCAACGTTTTGAACTGTATGTCGTCGTTCTCGATTGTTTCACTAAGTAGAACTGAAATTGAAAGATGTGACATTTAAAGTTAAGTCTTGTGGACCGTATAAAAAGAAGAAGAATTAGGTTGAGTAACATGTGCCCTACAGAGAAAATCTGTTTCTACTGTAACAAATATGTTACAAAATTCGTCTTGAACTGTTTCTGTGAAAGTTGTACTAAAAGAGTTTGCACAATTCTTAATGGATCTATAAAATGTCCAGAGTGTGTAAAAAGTGAGGTTAAAAAAGTTGGAAACCACGTTGGCAGTATCAGTGTTGCCCCACAGGATCTAAATATGCCATCTGCAGAGGTGGTGAAGAGTCTGAGCGACTTACAAGAAGCAGTTGCATTTATGTCTGCCAAATGAGATGGCACACTTCTTATGAGTTTTCGGGGACCGGTCGATTTTTTTTAAATTTTAATATATTATAGTACTTGCAAAAATAAGCATTTTTCATCATTGCGCCAAATCTCTAAGTGTACAGGGTGTCCCAGAAAAACGCACCGAAAGTTCGTACGCGAGGCGTTAAAAGTATCCAGTAATCGTCGTCCTGAAAGAATGTTGCTGTGATTTTTTTTTTTTTAATTTGACCAACGAACAATGAATGTGATATGATTACATGTCTGTGCAATACAGGGTGTTTTAATTTACATGTCCCTTTCGAAATCGTAGTAAAACAAAAACAGATTTAGGTATGCCGGCCCTTGTTTCGGCATTATATAGCTAATTAGAAAGTGAAAATATTTTTTTTAACTTTCTCGAGGCCAATTTATGCTTTTGAATTTATCTGAAAACTCTGCTTGTTATAAGTTACAATAAAAAACAATGATTATGCAAGGAAATAGAAGTATTAAATACTTTGGATTATATTAACCTAGGTATAAATGGCCAAATACCACATTAATTTTTTTTTAATTTACTTGATGTAGCCAACATTCAGAATTAAAAAGCACAAAATCGTAAAAAAAAAACAATTATTTATTAAATGGAAGAAACAAGAACTGATTTATTATCTTACTTTGTGAGTTAATTAGCGTAGTAACATTTTTTGTCAAGGGGTAAAACTATTATTGGGTAGTGACAATTCTCTTGGAATACTAATCTCTATTAGCGGCGTCTTGGATACATCTAAGTAAGACGTTTGTTGGGTACTTAACGTCGTTTTCGTGTCGAGCATAGCCTAGATACCATACTACGCTGGAAATATGTGCGCACATACCCAGTGTTCTAGCCCCAACTTTACAAGTTCAATATGTTCCTTGTATTGGGTCGTCCCCATCACACACAGGAGGCAGCAAGTATGAAATAAAAAGAAAATGCTTTGTGACTTAAGTAAATCGGGAGAATAGCTTTGCTCTAATGAGCCCAGGCTCAAATTCCTGAACTTGAAACAGAAATTCGTTATTGGCTTCCCTTTCAATTTTGATAGCTGTAAGTCAAAATATAATAATAATAATGTAATCATGTAATCATGTAACAATAGTGGATAAAACAATTAAAGAGTTATGGATTACTACAATAGTCTGGCCTTTTGGTTTTATCCAGTGCCATTAAAAAAAAAAAAATTGTATCCTGGATGTAAGCTGGAGACAGCTTTACCTGATATGTTCCAAATGTTTTTGTTCTAAGATATTCTAACGTTACAATAGGGAACTGGATGTCATTTTCATTTATATCAACCCAAGCACCTCCACCACGCCTAAGTTGCAGATTTTCCATTAGAATCCTATCATGGAGGGGATTATTAGGATTTTGGACTAGCTCTAGCATTCGCTGTGCCAGCTCGTCACTCTCATCCTGCATATGAATTGGTTCTCGGTATGCGTTAATAAGAGCGCAACCAATCTTTAAATATTCTGATAACTTGTAACAATTTTGCATAGGTATCGCATCTCGAAAGAACTTGTACAATGATTTTAAATGCCCATTCCTCGATTCTACAATCCAGCGCGTTTTGGTAATCTTACGAGCATAGTTCGCTTCCTCGGTGGTAAACTGTTGACGATTTCTTGGCAAAAACGGTGATATTTCACAATTCAGGTTTAGTGTTTCAAGAAATTCTACAACATCTCTATATCCCCTATCAACGACAAATATATCTCCGTCCTGTATCCATTGTCTTATGTTTTGAATATCCTCTTCCATTACTTTTCTCAATATTGCTGCATCATTGTTCCTGCTGTCTGAAAAGTAAGGACCGTGAACATCGACTATAAATCCATCAGGAGCTACTATTAGTCCGGCTTTAAATAATGTATACCGCTTATGGGATGAAAAGGATTGTCTTTGAGTTCTAAAATTACAACTTTTTGGGGCTTTCAAGTAAGTACAATCCGGAAAGAGAATGGCTTGGGGATTTTGGGGCTGTGGATTGTACAATATATTTGAAAAGCTTGTAACATGGCGCTCAATAAACTGTCGTCTATCTCTCAATTCTTGACAATGAAATCCTAGATTATTTGGTAGAAAGTTTAGGATTAAAGTAGTTCTGACAATGGTAATTGCTAAACTCACAGCCTGGCGGGATGTGTAACTCATAATTACTTTAATAAATTCATCCGATAAGCCCTGCCTTAATTTCATTAAGAATGCAATCATGTCTTTTTTAGTTGGCACACGACTTTTTCCATAAATCACTACCGGTTGGCATGTATTGAATAAATCCGCAAATTGCCGCTTGCTTATAGAGGTCAACTTTTTAAATTTCTCATCCCCAAAATTTTCTTCAGTATCAAAACTACTTGAATTGTAGTCTTTTAATGCCAGAAATTTCCACATTTCCCTTAGAATTTAAATGATTAACACAACATGGTGTATGGCTGGGGATGAAAATGTTAGTTTTTGCAAAAAAGTCGACACGTGCATCTAACGATAACCTTGTCCGACTGTCATTATTACATACAAAGCAACCTCTATTGCCCGCTAAAACATCCATTGGTATTGCCAATGGATTATCAGACAATTCTATACACCTTTCTACACGCTGGAAACAATTTATACATATTCTGGTATTTTCAATAATTTCTAGATGTGGCAAATGATATCTCTGTTTAAAAATAATAGAGATTTCTCTTTGTCGTGGTTCTAAAATTGCTCGGAATCTTTGACCGTTGACGTTGCAAATGTAGCACCTAACCATGATCCTATATAAAATTCAAATAAACTAATATAAGTAACCCCATATTTGCTTTCGAATTACATACTTACAAAGTTAATTAACATAAACTGGCAACACAAAATATATAAAATTCAATATTAATCACAAAAACGTATTCAAATAAAATGCACGTCAGTTTTTAAAAATGTCAAAATCGGCGCATTCACAGCCAACTTAGCGATTAAATCGTCAGCAAGCATATATTATGCAGTTTAAAGCTTCTTTTTCTCTGATTAGGTGTTCTTTATTTGTCGTAATGCTGAGTATTGTTGTAAACAATGACTTCATAGCCTATACTTGAGAAAAATAAACTTGGAACGAAATATAGATTTGTATACTTTATAATATATGGGTATATTTTTATGAACCTATCCTATATCGAACGTCCCAATAAGGCTCATGACTAGGTTTTTTATTGTAACTTATAACAAGCAGAGTTTTCAGATAAATTTAAAAGCATAAATTGGCCTCGAGAAAGTTAAAAAAAAAACATTTTCACTTTCTAATTCGCTATATAATGCCGAAACAAGGGCCGGCATACCTAAATATGTTTTTGTTTTACTACGATTTCGAAAGGGACATGTAAATTAAAACACCCTGTATTGCACAGACATGTAATTATATCACATTCATTGTTCGTTGGTCAAATTAAAAGAAAAAATCACAGCAACATTCTTTCAGGACGACGATTACTGGATACTTTTAACGCCTCGCGTACGAACTTTCGGTGCGTTTTTCTGGGACACCCTGTACACTTAGAGATTTGGCGGAATGATGAAAAATGCTTATTTTTGCAAGTACTATAACATATTAAAATTTAAAAAAATCGACCGGTCCCCGAAAACTCATAAGAAGTGTGCCATCTCATTTGATGACTTAGTCAAAGAAAATAAGAGTGTTCTTAATGAACCAAGAACACTTAAAAACGAGAATTCGAGTCTTCCAATTAAGATGAATCAACTTGAAGAACGCATAAATGAAATGGAGATGAAGGAAATAGCCTGTAATGTTGAGATACATGGTACACAAGTTAAAAGTTCAGTTGACCCCAAAGCTGTTGTACTAGAAATTGCTAATGATTTATTTAAAGGTAATATTCTAAATAATGATATCTGTGAATGTTACACCAAAGAAACAAAAAAAGGACTAATTATAATTACAAAATTCTCTAATCAGGAAATAAAAAAGAACTTCCTAGACAGTCACAAAGGTCATAAAATTGACTCAAAAATGCCCAGTGTTAACAAGTCAGTTAATAAGGCTACCAAAGAATCCACTGTTTATGTGAATGAACAACTTACAACCACCAATAGGAACTTGTTTAACATGGCATACAAATTAAAAAAGAATGATGCGTTATAAATTCTTGTAGTCAAAAAATGGAAAAGTGTATATAAGAAAACATGATGGTGAACCTTCAGTTCGAATAAACAAGAAAGAAGACTTAGATCTTCCAAGTGAAATTAATGTAAACAAAAAACTAACTACAGATTGTTGAATAAAACTTTATTAAAATGGATAATACAAGTCCCAAATTTTATAACAATCTTGATGAGTTTACAAATGAAGCAAATCAATCTATTTTTTTATATTATACCTAAACGCTCGCTCAGTACGTAATAAGTTAGATGAAATTGAAGCACTTAGTAAGCTTGTCAATCTACCTGATATAATTGTTGTTACAGAGTCGTAGCTTTCTTCTGGTGAGGAAAACTATTTTAATTTGCCAGATTATAATGCAATTCTAGTAAAAGAAGGCTACAATTTCACAGAAAATGACAGGTTAAGTGAAAAATGTTCTATGCTATTTATAAGATTAGAGCAAAGGAACTTTGTTATAGGTGCTATATATAGACCTCA